GTAAAGGGGGCCCCCTTTTTGTCTCCTTTTGTTTTTTCGGGGGGGGGGGGGGGGGGCTGAGATCGAGACAACGCGGGGAAGGAAGGTTGAGGTTCGGTGGAGAGACGGGGGGTCGAATCAAAAAGCGCGGTCGCAACGATGATATCGCTATGAATATACTTCGAAGTAGACCCAAACAAAAATGCACGGACGGAATGTCCGGGAATGCGGCACCTCTCTTCAACTTAACGTTTACATACTGTAGTGTGTGTCCATGTCCTCTCTCTTCAATCCAACAGCGGACACAGCGAACGAGCCTCGGGACAAACAAAAAAATGGGTTCTAACAAACGGCAGCGTTGGAAACCTCTCGTCAAAACCTGTCCGAAAAACGTGCCGCGGTATCCTCTCGTCGGTGGAGTGTACCATGGTACATAAATACCTTCATCCACTCGGTGCCGCGGAATCGACGGTGAATCTTGGCGGAGTTGTACCCGGCGATGCCGCCGGTGAGGACGTAGATCAAGAGGCACACGGTCAGCATGTCCCCGCGCTTGAGGGGGCTGACAAGTCGCATGACGCTGAAGAACAGCACCAGGAAGCTCACCGACCACAGCTGTACACCCGTTCCCACGCAGACCTAAAAATATAAAAAGCGGAAAAAATCGCGATGTTAAAAGGGGAAGGGGGGGGGGTGCAATCATGCAAACACTGCTGTCGTCATTAGACCACTGACCTCGCATCCCTACAAAGCCGGGACGGAGGGAGCAATATGCCGGGTTTTCGCCGGCCCAGACTGGATTGCACAACAGGCTATCTATGTTCAAAACAAGGATTGGGCGGGGCAAGCATGTACAGACCGCTCCCGCACTCATGTAAAGAAAATTACAAGTCTAAGAACGTGAGCACCATTTGTGAGCTTTTGTACGTTAAGGTCCCCCACGCTAAAACCAACATAGACGGCATTCGTAGCAAAACCCAGCAAGTATCGTCCCATTTACTGAGAAAACGTCAGGTCAGGTTTTACACCTTTCGCGGTGTGCGATTGTTTCTCAGCCGGGGGGTAATCGATTATCCGAAAAAGCCATGTACAGTACAGTACACCAGCAGCCGTGTGCTTATGCTTACCGCGAAGAGCATGGGAGCCGTGGTGGGGGGCCTGAGGACATCGCCGTGAACGAGCTTCCAGCCAGTCTCCTCGTTGGCCTCCTCCATGTCCTGTAATGTTATCAAATATAGTCAAAACAGCACAACCACAAGGTGTTTCAGCAGTTAAAAGCAGCATGAGGCACTACGACCATGCAACATCAACAGAAGAAATCACAGCACAGATACGAGGAGGAAGCCGGTAGAGATGCAGATGACATGAATCACGATGTTGGCCTCCTCCATGCCCTGGATAGAACGCGATAGCATCGTATGTCGCACCACGACAAAGCGACTTCAAAACAAGTGGATAGAGCAAGCCCGGGTGACAGGTGAGATAACGCTCGCCGTGTCATCTTCTCTTGAAAATAAACAACAAACACGAAAACAACAACACAACCACGACCATTTCACCGCTGGATGTCCGCATGCATACACAGGTTTACCGTGCCGAACAACACAAGCGGGATGTCCCAGCGACCAACTCACACGCGGAATACCGCAAAATGTCCTCATACAGGTGTACCGTATCGCGACAAACGACACGCAAAGGAAAGGTGGGTTGCCACTGTCACAGCCACGACTAACTCTGCCACTGTCACAGCCACCACTAACTCACTAGCGACTTTTTTGTGCCCACCTCTGCGTTGTAGCGCTGGATGTCCTTCCTGAGGGCACGGACCATGATCATGGCCACTAGCACGGTGAGGAACATGACAATCACCGAAGAGTTGGTGATGCTGAACCAGTGGATCTGGTTGTCCACGGCCCCGCTCGTGTAGATGTCCCACCTGCACCGTGGAAAAAACAACCGCGCGATAATGGTTACAAAAAACAGGAGGCAACACGAAGCGGCACGGGTCCCAGCCGCAGATATGTGGGAACAGTCTATGGTGCTTTAGAACAACCAAAAACAGCCACATCACCAGCAACAACAGCGACAAAAACGACAACCACATCAACCCACCTCTGCGTCCACGGCATGGTGGTGTAGTCCCAAGTGACGTCGTAGGTGAAGAGGATCTCGCCCTCGTACTCCGCGTTAAGGTAACGGCTAGGATCGTTGGTGGTGTACCTGTGGGGAGGACAACCAATCCCAAAAAAGACAACAAAAGAAGTGAAAAAAAAGTACCAAACGTTTCAAGGCGGCAACCTAGCCGTTTCAAGAAAAACGCCGCTGGAGGCATCACGCAAGCAAACCCAGTCATGGAAACGGAGCTTCTGGGGTGCTGAGGTGACGCATGGGGCCGTGGCCAGTGAAGTGTCCTGTCCGTTCGAATGGACGAGACAGGAAGAGTAACGATGGCAAAAAGCACATACCACGGGCAGGATATCCATGAACCGTCTCAACCCAAAACGCCGCTAAATAGATGTATGTATGCAACTACAAATGCGGCGAGGGATACAAGCTGTCCCAGGAACGCTCGGGGTTATTGGTGTAACCGAGCTCATCAGTCAGTGTTCTCTCGGAAAGGGCATCTATGAAAGCATAACAGACCACCCATCGCAGGTATCCACCATGTCTTTGCGTGTGATTTACGACAGCTTGTGGGTGTCCCGCTTAGCGTCGGGTGGAAAGAGAAGCGGCGGGCGGATGCTGTGGAGAAGTGTCGGCTGGAGGTCGGCACCGCTTCTCATGTCAAGACGACGACAACAACAGCAACAGCAACACCATATCATCAATATCGACAACGACAACAACAGCAAGACACCAATGCAGTAGGTGGCGCGATATGGTGGCAACGAAATGTGGAAACTGCCGATATAGTGGCATCAAAATCTCCTGTCACGATCTCAACACGTACATGAACCCGATATATCGAACACTGGCACTGCCCTGAATAGTGGCACATTCTACTCTTGCCCCTTCATGCCACTATATCGGGCCACCTACGTGTCAACACCAAAAACAGCAGCAGCAGACACAATAGTGAAAACAAACATCATGACATGAGACATGAGACATGAGACATGAGACATGAGACATGAACAGGATGTACTTGTATCTCACTCACCCTTGTTCGCTGCAAGTCTCGATAAACGCCCCTTCATGGTAGGGTGTCTGGAACTCGTGAACCACCGACATTGGCTCCACCAGGAAACCAACCTGTCGAGGACAGAAACAGAACAAAAAACAAGCACACCAGCAGGAAAGAGTTGTAACTACTGTTGGACATCAACAACCCTGCGTAGCAGTATGAATATACCTTTCTCAAGTCTCAAGAAGACAAGGCAATGGGTTGCTTCGGCATCGTCTTTCGTGAAATCTTGGCGCCACAAAAACGCCACTATAGTGCTACAACCTGATCCTTGGCGACGTTTTACCACGAGCACGTCTCACACTCCCGCAAAAAAACAAAAACTTACAAAGCCCCGTTGGCGCATTTTCGTTCAACGTCTAACCACGTGCCGAAAGGCAATAGACTTTCGTTAACAAGACATGAGCTCCACAACACACGACACACAAACTTTTCGACCGTGAAATTTCCCATCCTTTTCTACCGAGCCTCCACGTCCCGGAGGACGCCCTGCCTACACGCTCGGATCCAACAGGGTCACACCTGCGTCGCCCCCACTGGTGCGTCCCAAGACACGCACCAAAACCATGCCAAAACCAACGTCCAGGATACTATATCCCCGATACGACGACAGCACGCCCATGTTCGCCTATTTACTAACATGACAATTGTCGTTCTTAGCTAGTGAACCTACCGAGGAACAAAGCGAAGAGGATCACTTTTTAAGTGTAGTAGCATACTCATGCCGAGACTAGGACAACACACAACACGTCCGTCCATGCTCGCTCATGGCCATCGGCGGTCTCATGCCTTAGCTACAGTACCGAGGAGCAAAACGATAGGTTGCCCAGACGCCTGAACAGCAACAGCAGCAGCACATCATGTGGGGACACGAAATACTTCGGGAAAACACCGTTACCTAAAATGCGACGACTTTGCAGTAGAAGACACATGTATGCCTACCATACAATGAAGACACATCATACAAGCACTCACGATGTGAAACTGAGTCTCCTCGATATCCCTAGCGTTGATGGCCACCGTGAAGCGAAGGTGGTTGTTCAGGAAAGCCTTGCCATCCGCCGCACGGAATCCCACGGGGAAACCCCTGCAAAAACAAATACGAAGGTCCAACACAACAACATACGTATTTCACAGCAAGCAATAGGGGTGAGACGAATCAGACCACAAGACAAAGAAAAGACACGGTACGCAGCACGGGCGAAATCGTGAAATCGTGAAATCAGAAAAAAAAACATGAAGCAAAACCAGCGACATGGGGTGGACCTTGGAACAGACCTCGCGAGAGTATGTGCTGTCGGAGGGGGACGGCGGCTGGGCGATCACAAACCCAAACCCTTGGTATCCTTCCCGATCATCTCACAAAGACTAAGTTGTACTTCGGATTAGGGAAGTAGGAAAAGGACGCTCGGTGGATGATACTTGACGACAGCAAGGTATGGATGGGATCCCCCCCCTCCCTCCTGGTTAGGTACATTTTGTCTATGCGATGGACTGGACTAGACAAAACGAGCAAATGCTGCGTACCGACAGCGACGGACAACTCCCCCCTTCCCCCACGCCCATCCGCTGCCCCCCCCCGTGTACCCTGCATTGCCCCCCAACACCCAGACCCCCCAGCGCCCAGAAATTGTAGAAGTAGTATGGTCCCTGGGCTCCTTCCTTACCTCTGGTAAACATGCTCTTGGTCGTCCGTCATGGAGGTGGTCACGGGGGTCTCGGTCAGCTTACCCGCCTTACCGTCCGGTTTCTGCCACACCGTAGGGTAAATGGTTAAAACAAGAGGCATAGAACAAACGTGAACACCACAAACAAAGCAAATAGCGTTGTATGCATACATGTAGTTCCAACGGTCTAAAGAAGACATGAGTCGAACAGCAGTTAACAAAAAAAAACTAGGTCAAGGAACGAGAAAGAAAGAAATTGAAGAGAAGAATAGAAAGAATTTACTGTAAGGAAAACGAAATGTATGCATAGCAAGTCCGAAAGGCGGCACGATTAGCAAAATGAGGCAAAGAAATGCGTCAAAGAGCCGTCGAAGACTATGCAGTTAACCTGGCATGGGTCTGCAAGAAAAAATATTCAACTACGCAATGAACCAACGCGTTTAGGAAACAGTCAGATTCCGAAGGGTATCGACACAACTTGCTCGGCATTAAAGCCATGGGAAAAGAAAATGGCGATGTATTTCGCTGACAACGAAGACAACGCTTGTGATCGGGCAATCCCCTTCACTAAAAAACGCCAAATAACGCAACATTGCCTATCAGCAACAGCAACAACTCAAAGTATATCATGGGCATTTGGGGGAGAGCCACATCTCAGCAGCCTCCACATGGTGCCACCATACGAAAACTTCATGCCTTGCTTCGCTCTTCATCTGCGGGCTCACCCAACAGCGAGCACCAGTGGTTCTTATGGTCATGTCCTTGAGGTTCCAGGTATGCATATAGCCCCAAGGTTTGGACGTCGAGGCGGTGGCACGTCCGACAAACGTGCATAACCCCAGACTCCAAGTGCAGCAAGACACGAAAAACATACACAAAAAAAACATGGTATTGTGCTGGAATTAAGACTTAAGGCACACTCACCGGGTCGTACGCCGCAGGTAGGTGTGTGATGGACATGTGAGACTGGTATCCATCGCGGATCACGCTGGCAAACATATATCGCTCCTGAGGCTTGAGGGTCTGCACCGCGGCATCGAGGAGAAGGGAAGGTTCCGCCCGTGTGGAAAGAAAGGGAAGAACAAAGAAGAGGAAATAGTTATAGTGCATATCTGAAGAAGGTGGGTTGTTACATGACTACGGCACGAAAACTTGTATAGAAAAGGAAAAAAAAAACAGGTGAAGGCCTACCAAGGGACAAGACAGAGAGATCTAAAGCCACGCTACGCTATGTACAGTGTTGTACGCACCAAATCTTACCAGAAAGACGATATCTGCTGCTTGAGCCGGTTGTTCCCGCTTGGAACGTTGTAAATTGACTTGTTTTCTTTTCGGTCTTGCACGTCACCCTGAAGGGATGCCGCATCCCGACGTCTATAATCCATGTAGAGCGTTCTTACATAAATCATGGGGGAGGGCACTCTACGACTGCAATATAGGGTTAGGCTTTAATAACATGATTGCCTCTATCTTCTGGCAGAGCACTCAATTCGTGTCATAATCGGGTTTGGATTAACGACAACGCTACACCCACCCAACATACCTTGCTGCAGAGAACTCTGCATGCCTGCAGCACCCCGACCTCAAGGTCGTAAAGCGAGTTCTCTTCCCGGTCCCCCTCCAGATAGGCACCAATATTCTCCGCGTTTTCGTGGAGGTGCTCAGGACGACAGTAGGCCACGCTGTTATGCCGCCCCCCGCCATACGCACACACGACAACGATGGAAGAACAAGGATTACTGTACAAGTGCGGCCCTAGTTGAACGAGAATTTCGATACAATACGTAACACGAATATTTTACTCTACATATGAGAGAAGACAGACACATGATCAATCAAGGTTAAGTAATCAGATTCTCCTCAAAACAATATTCGTGTGGGGTGTTAACATTGTGTTGTGATAGGTTTTGGGGAGGATATATGTACCACTAATACAGGGATGGATGCACCACCGTGGAAGTCCACTTAGGCATGGCTTTTACAGTGCCAACACCGCAGCGTACAGCAGTATCTTGAGGCCTACACGAATAGGCGAACGGCCCAGCCATGCAGGCACTTCGCCAAACGAAACGAAAGGCAAGCAAAGCGCCAAGGAAAAACAATCTACTGGTACCGTTGTACAAAGCTCAGCCTGACTGTGAGGCGCGTTGAATCTTCATCATCACAGCGTGTTGCCTTTATTTGCCAACATAATAATTGAACTTGGGAGACTACAGTGCCACCTAAAAAAAAAAAAACGAAGAGCCACGCCCTTTGCTGCTTGTGCTGGATTGAGTTGTCATGGGAAATCCCCCTCCCAGCGACACCATGCAGCTGAACGGACCGGATCAACGATCGATCTACGACAGAATCCCATAACCGAATTTCCGAAGATCTGCCAAAGATTCCCGACAGACATTCCCACAAGCAGCCACATCTCCAAAGATCTGCGACAGAATCCCGTAACCACATCTCCGAAATACCTATAACAGTGTACGAAAGGTCTATACGACATCAGCTTCTTTCATGCTGGACCCATAGTTTCAAAATACTACCTCATCCTTGGAACGTTGTTCCAAACCTATATATGTACTGGGGAAGTGCCTTCCGGTTGCACGACAAAAAAATTATGCACAGATACCAGGACGAAGTTGAACTGGGGGGCTGAGCACCCTCTTTCCGTTCTCGAAAACAATAAATAAAGAGTAATCTGGGGGTTCGAACAACAAACGAAGGACTAGTAGCTGTACTGCTGTACTCACTGGTAGTGGTCCAACGGAGCCTGCGTGCGGACACTCGTGAGCTCGTTAACGAAAAGCGGCAGCTTGGACCCCTTGTCGAAGACCTTGGGGCCGATCGAAGGCAGCCACGACGCCTCAACCCCGCTGCCCCCCCCCCCAGCTACCGCCAACAGCGCCAACGACGTCCAGGCCATACAACTCCAACTGCCGCTGCTCATGGCCGCGCTGCTGCTTCTGTTGTCCCTTCTCTTGATGCAACCCGGAACCCGCCTAGACGCCGAAGGTGCAGTAGGTGCCATCACGCTGCACCGAGCTGGCTGGAGTTGGGTTCGAAGGCAACGCCGCCGTTCGGGGGCGTAGGAACAACCTGATTGCGGGGCGTCGATACATATGTGCATAGTTTATCATACGAGAGACAAAAAGAGATAAGAATTAGTCAGCAACAGCACTAGCTGAGTTGGGGCAGGAAAATAAAAGACATGCTCCGGACGTCTAGACGGCGTTACAGCAGTAGATACCATGTCGGCAAAAAAACTGATCTGCGTCCATCTAGAGCTTGACCTCCCCGATACATCTGCCTTATCCCCGAAACTTCAACATACTCCCTATTCTCAAGAACCGTCTCCTCACATATCTTCATTCCTCAGGAACACTACGGTGAAACCCATATCTCCATAGGGGTTGCGTCAGCACTCCTTCTTCCCGCACCCCAAAGTATTCCTTCATTTTTTTTATTTTTTTTAACGACCCAGGAATGCTAGGTTCGCCGACACATTCTGATCGTTCCTGTTTCCTTGCACTACCTTCCCGAACGTAGGGTACTACCAACGACACTGGCAGCATCACATGAACGGAAAGTCATTTGGTGGGCGCGCGAAGCCCACGATACGGACCTAGGCCTCTTCTTACGTGGAGACTGCCTATCGGAAGCACCATCAATCCTTCGGGGAGGTAGTGCAAGGAAACAGGAACGATCAGAATGTGTCGGCGAACCTAGCATTCCTGAGTGGTTTACTCCTGTCCTCGCGTGAGTCTTCAAAGAACCGCCTTCGCGAGATGAGTGAGTTTAGGAGGGATAGAACAGGGAGGGGGGACGCAGAGTATATCCCTGACCCTAACCCAACTTCTCCGATTGTATAGCATACTCTATGCAACAGATTCACATATAAATCGAAAAACCCTGGGAAGTTTACGGTACTGTCTTCAAAAGCAACGGGCATGTATCATCGACACTGCTGTGGTGTTTCTACTTTGCTAATTATTTTTGTGTCCGAGATGCTCACCCTCTCAACGAGACAGGTATTGTACACAGTCGTACTATTATATTAGGTATGCTAGAGGCAAGAAGCACGAATTTTACATGCTTCCGTACGAAGTTACAGCAGCACATTGATATGTACGTACCTATAACAGTAATAGTAGTGCCGGGGGTGCAAAAAACAACAACGCTCTTTTGATGGTCGACTTAGCATATATGATATGTACATGCCATGAAGACAACAACAACAACAACAACAACAACAGCAGCAGCAGCACTACAATGTAAGCCGAGATATGTACGCACACGGTCTGCACGAAGCTGTAAACTGTTGTTAGCAGTGGTTCCTTCGTTGCTGTCTGTTCTTGTGTCCACATTAAAAGATCCGTTCCGGTCTCCGCTCAGTACCTTATGATGTCCGTGCTATAATAGTCCAACTGACACGGACGCCTTCCGTTGTCACAAGCCAAATGCCACACCAAACGCGGCGGTACACCTTTCAAAGAAAAAACACAAATCTCGTTTGCAGACTACCCGAGCCCATGGAATTCATGACTACTGAAGCCGTCGACATCATATATGTACGGTAGTCCGCTCCCAGGTTATGGAAAATCAATCATACACGAGAAACGTATTAGAACCATCCGAATAGCATGCATGCGTTCATTTTGTCCGTGTCCCTCTCGGACACGCCCTGGAGGGGCCAAAACTATGGTTTTCGTGTAACAATAGATGTGTATGTCGTGTCTGCGTCCAACCAGAGACGGGTTGCTTTACCACGATGATACTCCTTCATACAAGTATATTATTGCATACAAAACCAGAGATATTCCGGGCATGAAGAAAAATACTCTTGCGAGACTGCGGGGCGTGAAAGTGATTGTGTGCCTCTCGGGCCTGCCGCCGCTGCTGCTGCTGCTGCTGCTGCTGCTGCGTGAGGGTGTCAGTCATGGCTTGCATTCTGAGAATAACCTTGGCCGTAGCAATACATCGGTCGTGGTTTCCTGCCCGCCCGCCTTCTTATCTCCTGCGGCCGCTGCCCTCTGACTGCTACTAATAAATAATACCTGGTACAAAATACTGCTCTCACCTCACCGGTTTTGTTCTGTCTGAATCGCACAAGCGGGGAGATCGCTCCCGATGTGTGCGAACGAGAGTTTCAAACCTTCGAGTCAGCTGGCGGGCGTGGAGAGCGGGGCGGGTGGGGGGGAGGATCGTGAGGGGTCGATGACCATGACAAGGCTTTCGACGTCTCGGGCACAGTACAACCTTAACCATGCCAATTCATCCGCGCCTCTCCTTCTCCCCTCTCCGCAAATCGTGCGTCGCAAAGCGCTATGCACCCAAAGCGCAAGGGATCCACAAATACGGGGAGGAGAGAACAGCAAAACTGGTGAGGGGGCAGAGAGAGAGCGCCAATACCCCCACGCACCCACGGGCAGAGAGCGGGATTGGAGGCAAAAGCGCTAACGGAGGCTAAGCCAGACGTACCTCGAGAGCGCAGCCGCGGCCAACAGCAAAAGATAAGAAGCGTGTGTCCTGCCCGCCCTGTTCCTGTCTCTCGTTTCGTTCTCTTTAGACGAAACTGAGAGTGACGGAGGGGGATCTCACCATGTAGAAACAGACATATGCACTCACAAGTGATTTCACGGGGCGTAATATAGAAAATTAATAGGGTTTACGTATGAACTGATGGCGTTGACAGAGGGGGGAGACATTTAAGCGCACACGGAAAAAAAAAAAACTTGAAAAAACGAAGAAAAAAGACGGATGGAAGGTGCAGATTGTAGCCGTGCTTGGTTGAGTTGGTGGATGAAAACCGGCCCGCACAGCGAGCAACCAAGCGAGCCCCTTGCCTCGAACACTGCTGATACAAGCACACTGCTGGTTCCCTGCGGGCGCTCACGGCAGCCCCAGTTCATTGGCGAATTAGATGCCGCGCAACCAAGCCGGCTTCCTGCCCAACAGCAGCAGTACGGGTAGAAGCACCTCGCCCGTCATGCCACCGCAGGACGAGGAATTGCCGGACGCCAGGCTGCTGGGCCAAGCCGAGGATGACCAAATCAACAACGCAGAGTCAGGGGTCGGGGCGAAGTGAGTCTTGCGGGCAGGACTTGTGTTCAGGGGCGGACACCATACGTCCCCCACCTACTAGTGTTTTTAGTGTTACGCGGAAGCTGGAAATTCGGATGCTCTTGCTCGCCCTCTCATCTCCGTGAGTGAGTAGCAACACTAGAGTCAGGTATTTTGTTGAGAGGTTTCTCCGCTCTACAACTCTCTCTTTGGTGCTGTGCGTAGTGCGAGTAGCTGGCGTCCAAGCGAAGAGGCGCGTCCATCAGCAAGAGTCAACGCGTCCGCCAGCAAGAGACGAGGGGGGTGCTTAAAAAACTGCCTATGCATAGCTACTGCTGTAGCGCCGATTTTGTCCGCTCTCTCGCTCTCGCTGCCTTTTCCGAAGGGCGGAGCGTTTTCCCGACAGCGGCAATCAACTACTGCTGTCACACTCCACGCATGCACATGTGGATATGCATAGCATAGCAAGTACGCAGCAGAGTACAATACTTTGCCGTTTCGCTGAGACGTTGCTACGCGACAAAACTCCGATGCCCTGTGCAAACACGACTCGCTGCAAGCTGTTGTTCCTACTGTACTCAAGCAACACGTCCGGCGATGTACATTTTGGCATAATGAAAACTATTTTAATTGAACCTGACACGCGTACCATGCCTTGTGCAGGTCTTCCCTCTTCCCTCTTCCACATTCCAATCCAATCCAATCGAGAGCCAAGCGTGTCCCGACACACCTACATATCAGAAACATGAACACTTCGATAACATGTCACTGCGGGTGCTCGGTGGCACACGTACTGGTGTCCTTGCCCACCTACACCAGCTGCAGCTTGTGTTACGTATGCATCCCTGAGCTGTCCCACCCCAAAACACCGCCGCACCTCCCCCACACCTCACCAGCCTCGATAATACATCGATACCGTATGCTTACAACCATGTGGTACCCGTATACTTGCAACCGCGGTACAGTACTTGTTACCCCCGCCACCCCTGTTTGGACGTTAAGGCATCAAGACGTACTTCACATGGTGCTGCTGTACTCCGAAGTAGAGTAGGCAATAGACCTCGCGGCTAGATTGTACTAGATATCTGGGGCGTTCCCCCCATCGTGGGTAGAGACGTAATAACAACAGCAGTGCTCCGTCCCGCGTGATGAGTTTGATCCGTGGCCGAATGACATCGAGACGACCCCCCCCCCCCGCCTGTTTGATGTTAGTAGGTCATTAGAGGTTGACTTCGAGCCGGTAGCCCCCCAGAGAGAAGAGACACCGATGCAGAAGGGCATCCTGCTCTTCCTAGCCACCGTGGGGCTGCTGGGGTCATACGTTACCTGGGGCTTCATGCAGGAAATGGTGAGATCGGGGGTGGTAGGCAGATATATTCCAGGATATTTGTTTGTTGGTGAGACAAAGACAGGAAGACCCTCTGTTATTTCGGATTTCTCGCCTGGCAGCTGTGGTCTCGAAAGCGCGAGAAAGAACTTGATCCTAATGTCTTCGTCCTGTTCGAAAAATTATGTAATAATGTGTGGTAAATATGCTATGCATCGGGGGGATCTTGTATTAGATGCACAGCAGTTCCAGCTTACTGGCTAGCTTCACATGCCGCTTTGGTTTCTTGGGGCGGGGGGGGGGGGGGGCGTAGGTTTTCATTCAATGCGCCTCGTTTTGGCTTTTCTGAATGCTCGTGCGACAGCAGTTCTCCACAACTCTCTGACTTCCCAGCTCCTACGCATCAGACCCCCTGGCCAAACTGCCTGAACCTCTCCTACTGTGTTTCCGGCGTCCATCCCTCGTTCGTCCGACCGTACTATTATTCTAGGTAAAGAACAAGATGTACGGGAAGACCGACAGCTTCGCGGGAGAAAAGTTCCCGTCTGACGTATTCCTTGTGTTCGGGAACCGGCTGCTGGCCATGGTGGTGGCCGCGGGGATGGTGATGCTGCCCCTGAGGAGAGAGCCAGCGGGGGGCTGGGCGCCGCAGGTGTGTTGCGTGTTTTTCATGTATTCCGGTGTGGGTTTGATGTCGTCGTCGTCGTCGTTGCTGCTGCTGCTGCTGCTGCTGCTGGCATCGTTACTGTTTTCGTTGCGGTGTTGCGGTTATCATGACCTTCATCTTTTGCGATCTTCTTGGCGGCCCCATGGGCGGAACGACTCGTGGACAGCGGTGTTTGACGGTAGATACCACCCCCCACCCCACCCCTTGCGGTCGAGTTTGAGGCCCCGTTGTTCCACCTCAGAATATGTGCCGGGTGCAGATAAAAAACGCGGCGACAAAAAAATGTTCACCCACCGCTCTCCTAGGAAGCAGCGCCCGACATTTTTTGGTAGTAGAGCAATCGCTCCTTGAATATTCGAATATTCGGCCCAAGTGTCCGGTATACTCATCGTCAACAGCAAACCATTCTCGACATACAGCAGTCGTCACCTTCTGTGCGGCGTGTCTCTACCAGGCCGACTCACCCTCCCTCATGACGGGGGCATCTGCCCAATTCAGAGTACCATCAAACAGCGCGATTTTCCAACGGTGCCGAGAAATTCGACTCCCCTTATGTTACCCACACGATACAGTAGAGGGGCGACGACCGACACTCTCATGTCGTTATCTCACCACCCGTGTCTAACAATTTTGACCAATCTCTAGTTCCGCGTTTTTACCAGTAGAATTTCGCTGCCACAAGTACTCGACGCCATGTGTTTTTCGTGCCTGGGTATTGTATGCATGTTGTCGCCCGCCCGACAGATCTAGTAATCTTGACTTGAATACCCGTGGGTTAATCAAATTTGGATTTACCCGTGTTTCCCTCTGTGCAGGCAGAGAGACCCATGGTTTCCTGCGGTGCATGGAAAAACAAACGAAAATTGAGGGTCCGCAGGCCGAGCCCACTGGTACGTTGAACGGAAAACTAGAACAAGGAAAATGAGACAAATAGACACGCCTGAGACAGCAAGAAGACGGTCGCTTTGCACTCCTGGTGCGGCTGTTCTTTCTCTCTCTCTCTCTCTCGCTCGCTCTCTCTCTTTCTCTCTCTCTGCTTCTCTTATTTATCTCTCCTCTCTTCTCTCTCCTCTCTCCTCTCTGGCTGTCTCCCCTCGTTCTATCTATTCTCTCCTTTCTCTGTGGCTCTCTTTTTTCGGTCATTCTCTTTCTCTCTGTCTCTACTTTTCTTTGTCTTTTCCTCTCTTTCCCTCTCTCTATCTTTCTCTGGCTCTCGTTCCCTTCCCCTCTTTCTATCTATCTCTTTTTTCTCTGCGGCCCTCTCTCTCTCCTTCTCTCTCCACGCGTCTGTTGGTCTCGTGCGTCGAACGCCCACTTTTTTTGTTTTCGGCCTGGTCTATTGACTCAATCTGGAAAGGTAGGATTGCCGTTTATTTTGCAATACCCGATGCGCTGGTGTGATGTGCGAATGACGTTTACATGACGGGGTGATGGCTTCTAGATTTTACCCCAACGTGTGCTTATGCTCCCCCGAGAACAATACTGTACAGGTCGGCGAGCCATGCGTGATGTGGGGCAACTTTCGAGCCCTCTTGGGATTTCTTGATGGCGATTTTCCGTGTCTTCCCCGAATCCAGCAAAAATGGTACATCCGAACAGAACATTTACGAAACACATGAACGTTGTTTTTTTAGTCCATCCCATTTTCCCGTAAAACCGTCTGTTCTCTCTCCTTCCCATTTCTTTTTAAGAGAACCGGGAGCAGCCAGCTGGTTTTCCTTGTGCAGTCCTACTTGTCATGTCAGCTTAATCGCGACAACGTCGTAATTCTCTCGATCCTCTTCTCCTTGCCAGTGATTCAGCACTCGATTGTCAATACAACATCGGGGAGACAGCAGGTGGGAGCTTTGTATGGTGGTACCCTCTATCTTGCGCCCAGGCTCATTCTTTCCGTCCGGTTTGTAGTCAAACGATCTTGTCTTTTCTAATTCCTGGTGTTTGTCTTGTCGCGTGCGTGCGTGCGTCCGTGCGTTGTCGTATCTTGGCTGCCGCGTTTGGGGCACACTATGCAGGCGCCTTGGCTGAGCTTCGCCCCGTGCTCTTTGTCGAACGTGATGAGCAGCTTCTGCCAGTACCGCGCCCTCAACTTCATCTCCTTCCCGATGCAGGTATGTGTGTGTGTGGTGTGTGTGTGTCTAAGGTCTAGGGTGTGTTTGTGTGCGTGTCGTGGTCGATTGCAATGGTGAAGCTGGCTTGTCTTTTTTGTGTAGTTGTGCGAGTTGGTGCCGATTGTGGTGATGAAGCCGGGTGGGGAAGGTCTACGAAAGACCTCATCCCACCCGTGTCAAACCCTCTCCTCGTCTTTGGCCTTCACGCTGTGATGATATTCGTGGTGCCACTTGAACGGGATATCTAGGTCGGGCTTCGCAGGCTGTGTCTGTGATGTGGGAACTGGGCACTCACTCATGATCATGTACAGTATACGAAACTCAAGAGATCATTTTTCTTTCACGGTGATTTGGCACCCTTTGCTACTGCTGCAACGCTGCTCTTGGGATGGCGATTCCGCCGCTTGGGATGGCGATTCCGCCGCGGAGTATACAATGTATGGTACTGATTTTGGTGAGGCCGACTAAACAAAACGTCACAATTATTATACAGGTTGTGTCTAAGAGCTGCAAAGTGGTACCAGTGATGCTGGTCGGCAAGTTCGTGCACGGGAAGTCATACCCTTGGGTGGAGTACTTGGAGGTGAGATAAGGAGGAGTCACGCGTGTCTAGTTTATTTGCATCCGCGCCTAGTTTATTCTCATCCCCATTCCTCTTGGTTCGTATTGGCACTCTCACTCGCCTCTCCTACAACGTGCCAGTCCCGTTGCGAAGTTTTTCAGGCCTTGACTTGAAATGAAAGGTTAAGATTGCTGCCGCTCCGCGCGAGGGGGGGGGGGGAGTAAGGCTGCCAAAGCCAACACTAGCCGATCGATTGATCCCGCCTCGTGCGCATTTCAGTAGAGCTACCAGCGCCCATGCGCCCTTCGATGATCGATGTCGAAGTTTGTTGGTTTGGGTGCTTGTTGGGGGTTGATTTACACCCTAATCTAACTCTGATGCACTGGTATTTACGTATTGACACCGTCCCTCACGACGAGCAATACAGGGCCATGTACATGGCCTTCGTGGGGAAAAGTATTGACACTACCGAAGGGTGTGAGATAAGGTGCCTTCCTTCTTCCCTCCAGCGATCCGATGTGTCGTGCGATCCATAACCTATCACACGACAGTTTGCCCTGACACCGTCCCTCACGACGAGCAATACAGGGCCATGTACATGGCCTTCGTGGGGAAAAGTATTGACACTACCGAAGGGTGTGAGATAAGGTGCCTTCCTTCTTCCCTCCAGCGATCCGATGTGTCGTGCGATCCATAACCTATCACACGACAGTTTGCCCTGGGTCGCGCAAGGTAAGGTAGGTTTAGGTTGTTGTAGGAGGCACACGATGTGTCGGTAGCGGAGGAGTTTTGTTCTAGATACAAATTGTCGACCTTCCTCAGGGGAGAAAACGTCCACAGAGACCATGGGATAGCGCGAGAGATGTTGTAGTACCGTTCGTGGGACGATGTTGTAGGCAGGCTTCAGAGCCTGGAAAGGGCGAGATAGCTCTGCGGCAAGCGTTAGGCAGCCACCTCCCCCTGCCCACCCCGGTTAAAACCAAAACAACGGTCACACGTCCCATCACTGAAACCACATGTGTACGTCTCAAACTGAGATCCGGCATGACGGGTGCAGAGACTGTTGCTCGGGCACGTGCTATTGTATCTGCAGTCCTCCCCGCCGCACTTACCACCCTGTCCGTCGTTTTTTTTTTTTTGTCTTGTCTGATTCTCTCTGTATCCGACAGGCGGTCGCGATCGCTATGGGAGTGAGCCTTTTTTCCTTGTCCCAGTCTGACGGCCCTAAGGATGGGGAGGAGACCCATACCAATGTGAGAGTGTGAGAGTGTGAGAGGGGCAAGGGGGGCAGCTCTTTCATACTCCGCGCGTCCCTTGCGTATTTCGGTGTAGAACCCACCGGCCTGGCCGGTGGCGACTAGCAGTGCCCGTAGTGTTAGGTTCCTCCACGCTTCTTGGTTTTCTGGCATTTATGATCCGACGACTATTGACCGTTGGAACTACCCCCCCCCCCCCCCTTCATGCGACTCGCCAAATACCTCACGGCGCTTCCCGCTTGGTGATGTGAAAACCTGGTCCGGTGAGAACCCGGCATGCTCCGTCCCGGCTTTGTAGGGATGCGAGACCATCCGCCCCCCCCGGTGTTTGCCATCGGGGTTTGGGTTTTCGTCGCTTGGCAACGACGTTGTAGAACAAGCCCCCCCCTCGGTGTTTGCCATCGGGATTGGGTTTTCGTCGCTTGGCAACGACGTTGTAAAACAAGCCATTTCACTTCGTGAACTCGGCAACCAGGTCACCGTTTTTTTTTTTACCTCGTTTTTTTTTTTGGCGGTAACCATGAATGGTGGTCGAGTAGATCATGTTGTGCGGGGTCGAGAACCCTCACTCCGCGCAACGGGGGATGATCGCACCACGTTGTGTTAAAATGGTCAAGCTTCCTCGAGGCAGTTGCACAGTGCTTACAACTGTCTCTGGAAGTGAAAGCACCAGAAAATAAATTAAGTCATACGCAGCTGTCATCCGTACGCAAGGAAGTAAGCACAAGATGCCGAACACCCTTAGCAGGATGCAGCTCACCCTTCATGCGACTCGCCAAATACCTCACGGCGCTTCGCGCTTGGTGATGTGAGAGCCTGGTCCGGTGAGAACCCGGCGTGCTCCGTCCCGGCTTTGTAGGGATGCGAGGTCAATGGTCGAATGACTACGGCATGCACGACTATGAGTACACCCCCCCCCCCCCCCCCCCCCCC